AAAAAAAAAAAAAAAATCTCCCTTTACCCCACAACCCCCACTGCCTTCCCATGATCTCACCCTCTCGCACTTGCTCATTTCCTCCCCCATCCTTCATTGTCTCTTTCTAGGGAGAAAAGTGGTACACACACGTGCCTTCTCTCAAACTCGAACCCCAGCCCTGAACTCCTACTCCATCTCTGTTCAGTGGTCTTCAGCCCCACTGCTGTATCAGAGTCAACAGGGACACCTCTCTTTTCCGCAGATGTTGCCATGGATGGCATCTGACCCCTTCCACCATCCCCACTGCTGTCATCCCTGTATGACCCACGTTGCTCACCAGGGCCACTGCAGCAGCCTGCTCCCTGTGTCCCGGCTGCCACCTAGCAGCAGGAGACACAACTGAAATGTCCCTCAGCTGTTCACAACTCTTCTCTGCAGTGAACAGGGAGACCAGGAAGGACGGGCCCCATGTCCCAACAAGACACCCTTTAATTAAGGACTGAAGTTCTAGGATCTTCCAAGGGTCATGCTCCAAGACCTGTTGCCCTACATGTGTGACATGTTTTTTTTATTGTTTACTTTCTTATCTTTACATTTAAAACATCTGAACACTCAATCTGAAAAGAAGAAACCTTTGTTTATAAACATGAATATTTCTCTGTAAATTATGAAGGATATGGCTCTAAAACATGCCAGTCACACCCCTGTGAGGGGACATATGTAATAGACTGCTCTAAGACAGATTCAGACCCTCACTGACCACAGAGTGGGAAGCACGGGCACCAAGAGGGACCCCAAAGAGCCGCAGACCACTGACTGATAGGAAATGAGTTAGTCCACAAGCAGAAGCATATCTTTCAAATGTATGAGAGTACATTCAATAAAAAAAGAAAACAACAATCAGATGTACACTATTCAGTGGAATATGCCAAAAAAAACACACAAAAAACAAAGGAAAGACTTCTTAGCACTAACTGCAACAAAGTTTACCAGAAAAGGTCACCTAATATTCATCACTGAGATACACAAAGACTGAAATTTGACAAGTAAAAATTGCTGGAGATTTACATATGAATATCATGAGAGCATAGATTAATTTTAGCACAACATGTGAAACGTGAAGACATTAGGAAAATGGAAATTATTGATTTGTTTTCAGAAATATACATACATATAACAAGGAGGATAGATTACGAAAATCCTCGGACTTTTCGAGATTGCTGAAATACAGCGATATGTTTTTAGAAAACGAAACAACAACACCAAGGAAGGCCATTCTGCTCAAATAACAGAGAGAAATAAGAGGCCCGTCTCTGGGTCGACAGTAGCTCTCTGGAGAAGCTCCACGTAGGTTAAGTTCTCGTGCGTGTTGGGGTCGAAGAAGCCCTTGGTGTCGTCGCTCGGGTCCGCCAGGACGCGGCTCATCTCCTCGTCGAAGTAGCCACGCCGGT